ACGGTGCCTGGGATACACTGACCACAGCTGTGCTCCCAGTAGGGTCACCCATGGGCTCCGCATGGCCTGCCCGCTGCAGCCCCAGGAGCCAGCAGGCAGTGGTATCTGTCAGGGGGGTCTCAGTGTGGAAGATCCTCGGGGCCCAGGGTGTTTGGATGAAAAACAAAGGCGGTTCCCAAGGCTGGGGAGCGGGTTGTCTGAGTACCGGCTCCGTAGGGGGCTTGGGAGGCCTGGTGCTCTCTGATGACCGCACCCAGCAAACAAACCAACAAACAATTCTCAGACTCTCCCCGCTGTTCGGCCGTTGCTCTTCCTCGGGGCATCGCTGCTAATAGGGGACGGGCGGGGACCCAGGGGTGCGAGACATCCGCCGGCCCGCCCCTTGCCGGACTTCATGTCCCCCTGTCAGCTGTGGTTTCTGCAGCGCGTCCTCCGCCCCACGCCCCTCGCAGTGACACGCAGCCTCCCTCTCTTTCCAGGGTGGTCGACGACGAGATCGAGGGTGACCTTGAAGAGGTACGTGGACCACCCGGGAGCGGAGGGGCAGAAAGGCACCCCAGGGTTCAGGGGGGGTCACAGCTGGAAATGAAGGCCTCCTTCAGCGCCAATCCCTCCCCCACCCCACCCGCTGGGGCGCGTGAGGCCACGTGTGCGTGGGGAGCTGTGCAGGACGGGCCCCAGAGCTGTGCTGATCGGTGTGAGATTCTCGCCACCGCCCTCTCTGGGCCGCGCTTTCTCTCTAAAATGAAAGTGATGCAGTGACAGGTCCTGAAGGGCTGGGACAGACGCACAGGCCAGGCTCCGTCCTTCCAAGTGCAAAATCGAGGAAGGAAACCACCACGGGGTCGGCGCAGTTTCAAAGGGCCCCGTGGGCTCTGCTCACCGGCCAGCGTCCGAGCCTCCGGAACAGGCCGGCCGGCCCTCCCGTCCGATCCCGTTAGAGCAGCTCACAAACGGCCACGCGGTCGGATGTCCACGAAGCCGCCCATGCGGGACGTTAGCGTCTGTCTCAGTGACGGCGAACCTTTTGAGCTCGGCGTGTCAGCATTTTGAAAAACCCTAACTTAACTCTGGTGCCGTGTCACATACAGAAAT